CAGAGCTGACCAAGATATGTTCTGGAAGTTATCGCTGCACTTGACGTGCAGTATGGCACATTGTCAGTTGGTTTCAGGAAGGGACTCAGAGCTGACCAAGATATGTTCTGGAAGTTATCGCTGCACTTGACGTGCAGTATGGCACATTGTCAGTTGGTTTCAGGAAGGGACTCAGAGCTGACCAAGATATGTTCTGGAAGTTATCGCTGCACTTGACGTGCAGTATGGCACATTGTCAGTTGGTTTCAGGAAGGGACTCAGAGCTGGCCAAGATATGTTCTGGAAGTTATCGCTGCACTTGACGTGCAGTATGGCACATTGTCAGTTGGTTTCAGGAAGTGACTCACAGCTGACCAAGATATGTTCTAGAAGTTATCGCTGCACTTGACGTGCAGTATGGCACATTGTCAGTTGGTTTCAGGAAGGGACTCAGAGCTGACCAAGATATGTTCTAGAAGTTATCGCTGCACTTCACATGCAGTATAGCACATTGTGTTATCATGCTGCAAGGAATATGGTCTATTTCTATCAAATTGATCACAGCGGACAATGTAACTTTGTTCAGAATGTCACAATATCACAAATTTTTCATAGTTCATTTAGATATTACAATGGAACTAAATTCAATCCAGTTATTATAAACTCACACTGTGATACTGCCCACTACTCTTCTTGGTTGGAATGTCAAATAAATGTCCAAAGCTTTCTGCAGATTATCATAAAACCCAAATCCAATACGATAAGTGGAACTCATCACTCAACTTGATGACTTCCTATCTATCTTTATTGAACGCTCAGAACACCATGAAAGCAGGATGCCCTTTAAAACCCTGAGACAGGTAGGTGCTTCATACATTCAATGTCCTTCCTCATTTCTCAACTTTTTTTTAAGCCTCATTCGAGGAATTAAATACCAGATGCGCGGTTTTGAATCACAACTCGTATAAAGGCTCGTATATTAAAAGAATGATTAATTTTGTGTTTCTACGCGTACCTCCAACGTAGCATGTCCAGTAGTGTTATGTTTCTTCATTTCCCTACCCAAACTGAATTTTAATGTACGAGTTCGCAGGCTTAAATGTCTTCTACGCTCTTGTCTTTAACACTACTTCTAATGATAATTCTTCTTTGAAAGTTCGAGATTTCCGATGGCTGTGGCATCTTTATTCCAACTATCCGATAGCAATGGACGTATAGATACCAGAAGTATTCGATACATCGATATTAAACACAGGTATTTAGATATCGAGTACTTACAGGTATCGGTTAGTCTTTCGATATAGAAATATTATTAACACATTATTTATCTTAACGTTTATTTTCAGTAGGTTATTCTCCCTCGGTAGGACAGCGGTAAGTCTACAGACTTATAGCGCTAAAATCCGTGGTTCGATTCATCGCGGTTGACACAGCTGATAGCCTAATGTGATTTTTCTCTAAAACAAACAAACAGTAGGTTATTCTCCCTCGGTAGGACAGCGGTAAGTTTACAGACTTACAGCGCTAAAATCCGGGGCTCGATTCGTCGCAGTAGACACAGCAAATAGCCTGATGTGATTTTTCTCTGAAACAAACAAACAGTAGGTTGTTTTTAAAAGAAATTTCCAAATTAAATAGCTTAAATAGATTTCCTGGACAATTTTTCTCATGGTTATATGTTTAGTAACTTCATGGTAATACAGATTTATTGAAGAGTCTTACACTGTTAATTAATACCGTGTGACTGGGACATTATCATTACCGAGGTTTTCAGAAATGAGGCTATTATCTACGTTTATTTTACAGGAGTTGGTTTATGTTATATGTTATTTCTCAGTTTCTGTTTCTGAAGTGTAGTCGTTCACAGATTTGTTCTATTTGACAACATGCAGTCTAAACAATGTTTATCCTTGACTGTTCCTATTTACAGCGGTGGTGAGTATACCATCACATTTGATAATCTGAGATCTAGCCGATAGAGGAAAAGCTGGATGTGTGCTCTGCATCTGAGTCTCCTAAAATGCTTATAAAGGTAAATGTATCATAGTGATGTGATGTTGGTCCTAATAATACGTTTTTTCTGTCTAGAAGTTTTAAATGATAGTTAATAAATAAGCAAAGAGAAAATTTCATCGCATCTGCTCTCAATGACAAATAATTTCAAGGTAACTATGACATTTAAAAATGTGTAGTCGATTTGATTCAATTTAACTGTAAATGTAGTTGGCAAGAGTAGTATTTGCTTTTGAATAAAAAACTTATTTTCAAGTGTACTGTGAGGAGATCGAGCATACAAAAATAGTGTTCAAGTAAAAGAAAGTCAGTGGACCAGGCCAGTAGAAGAAGAAGCAATACGTTAAACTAATATTTGAAGCTCACTGGATATATATCACGTATAATGCAGTAGCGAATCTACAAAAAAAAAGAGAAACATCGAAAAGGCTCTTGTGGAAATCTTGTAATAATTATGGCCGTGCCAGCCTTGGTGCCTATAGTAAGTACGGACATGGCGCCTACGGTGCTGCTAGTTTGGCTGCTGCACATGGGTATGGTGCATTATGTGATAGGTTAGGACTCTAGATATGAACTTTCTTGCTGCCGAATAATATTAAGAAGGATCCTTCCTAACAATTATGGTGAAGTGAAGGTAGAGTTAGAATCTGTATCATTAGCAACAACAGGTCATATTGCTCTAACAACTGGTATACTCGCTTCTTCTTAGACTTTGTCGTATTGGACTGTAAATATTCACTTGATTTCACAGATATGAAGAGATGGAAGCTTTAGTCCTTTGTACTGGAGGCTCTACACTTCAGTACTGACCACACTGATGCGTTAGAAGTGATAGCTTGTAATTGAGGAATGAGAATTACAACGTTCATTCTCACTGACAATGTTTCAAGTATGATAGCAGGAGCTAGGCCTAAAAGGCAGAAGTAGCTGCCATATTTTTCTCCCACCCTCAATTTTTAGTCCAGATGTAAAGAGGTTATTACCTTATTTGTTGGAAGATTCTGTAATTACAGTTGTTTCCTTAAGTATGTAGAATCCCATTCCGGTGGCCAAGCTTTAAGATTGGGGGGGGGGCTATAACGCTAAAATGCGGTTTTCTATACCACGGTGGACATAGCACAGATAACTATTTCTGTAGCTTTATGCAAAGTTAAAACAGTGGGAAATTTAGCCTTGACAAAATAATGTAATTATGTTTATTTCTCTATAGATTAAGGAGATAAGTTCAAACTGTGTTTATACCTTATGGTGAACAATTCTAATGGTAACTTTTCATCTTAGATCACATAAATTGTCCTCTTTTACCTCTATATATGAAAGAAAATAAGAAAAACCACACTAAAATATAATAAGATATCCCTTGGAGATTGTTTAGTATTGACTGCGAGATGTCTAAGCCAAGACAACGTTTTCTGAATAACAAATAACATTACAAGATTGGACACTAGCACTAACATTAAAGATATTTCCGATTAAAAAGCTTTACAGTAAGAATAAAGAAATATAATACTGAAAATAGGTTTCCTTCTTTTCAAAATATGGGTGTGATACATACTAAAGTTCACACCTCCGTCGAAGGAGGTGTCAACGCAGGTTTCTAAAGTCTTGCTTGTTGTGCATGTCCATCGAAAACTTAAAGAGGTTTTGTTAGAAATAATAAAAAAATACAATTTTTTAAATTACAACTGTAAATAATGAACACTATGAACTATATTCTCTCGAACAACGCCCATAAAATGAATACAGACTTAAATAATATCTCGTACAATTCATTGTTTTCAACTAACCTGGTAACCTGTAGTAACAGTGAATGGGATTGGGAAAGGTATCCAGTTCCTGAGTGATATCAGAGCCAATAGAAGAGAACTACTTTTTTCATAATTCAATTTACTTTCAGTTGTTTTATTTTTTTGAGAAAAGTATGGATATAAATATTGGAAATCTCTGACACATTTCCAGAAGAACTTCAATAAAACTTCAAACTGATTTATACTAAAGAAATACTCGACATGAAGACTGTGAGTATTATATAAAATTTTGTTTCCAATACTGTGGTTACGGAACATGATGGTTTATAAGCCATGAGACAGAACTTTGAATTATGTATATCTATATATAAATAAATAAATAGCTTTCAAACCATTGATTACATTAATTGTTAATAAGCGATTAAATCAGCACTATAAAACAATAATGAATTAAATCCGATACGACAATAAGTTGACAACCTGGACCGATAACGGTAATGTAACATATCTATCTATATATATGTATATATATATTACAAAATTTTATAATCTAATGCTTGCTTTGATCTAATTCTTCAGCTGGTTCTTGTGGTCGTCATCTTTATCGGCGCTGTGTCTGCAGAGAACAAGGAGGAACTCAAGGAATCTGAGTCATACGCTTATCCTGTAGGTTACCAAGGATATGGCTATTCACCATACGTAGGTTATGGTGCATATGGTCACGGATATGGTGGCTATGGATATCTGGGAGCTGGCTACGGTGCCCACGGCTATGGTGGTCTTGCTGCCAGCGCTCGCCATGGAGCTTACGGATATGGTGCTCACGGACTGAATGCCAACGCTGCCCATCGCAACCTGAACGCCTATGGTGCCCATGCTGGCTATGCCGGACATTACAGAGATATTGGCGCTTATGCCCGTAACAAGGGATCTGGATACACAAAAGCTTATGCTTACGACAAGAAGGCTGGTTACCACAACCGTGGTGGAGCTGTTGCTGGTTACGGTGCTCGTTATGGTCTAAGTGATAATTCTGGCAGTGCCAGTCTTGGTGCCTATGGTAAGTACGGACACGGTGCCTACGGTGCTGCTAATTTGGCTGCTACCCATGGTTATGGTGCCTACGGTCATCTGGGAGCCGGATATGGTCTTCATGGATATGGATACGGACACTACCCTGCCACCTACTACGGTTACCACTAAACCACAAAATGGTAATACTACATTCGATTCTATGATACATGAAATCATATTACCTATCTGAAAGACTGATTCACTAGCTTTCAAGTCTAAGTTTATGGATTACAAAATACTGAAAGTATTATATGTGTATGTATAATCTCACACATTGTTACAATCTTAGTTATATAAGTAATTACTTGTGTCGATAGTATGTAGTAAATTAATAGTTTCATTTTTTATTCAACTTATATGATATACAACGAATGAATAAAACAACTATATTCAGAAATATATATTTTCAGGATGACATCTACTGGCCAGGTTATTGCTGTCTAAATCTACATCTAATTGCATTGGACGGTCTTCTGAAAATTTCAACTGTGGCCAAATTGTATCAAAGTCAGACAACGAAGCCCCTTGTACAGCGTTGTTGGATCCTTATTCACTATTTTCATGACCTATTCTTTTACCTTTTATTATCTTATCTGTTATCTTCTAATTTCCCACAATTTTTCTTGCTATTGACAAAATCGACTCAGGGAAGCCCGACTCAAGGGTTTTACTCTTTTTCTAACACTTTTCCTTTACAATTGAATATTTTCTTTGTTAGATATTTACAACACTTTCGAAAAATAAATCGTATTATTTAATTTGCGAGTGTTGTACCTTTTCTTATACGTTTATGTTGACGATTAATCATATTGCAAAATAAAACATGTATATAGCCAAATTAACACAGGAATTTAGGTAATTTGTGGGTACTTGTTACAAGTATTGGGGTTGAGAACATATACTATCTCACTGCAGGATAAACTATACTAGACTTTGAACAGGAAGTTCAGATGCTTTATTCGGTATTGAATGAAAACAGGCTCACATTTCTGTTAGAACAACTCATATATTTGATAATCGAATAATAAGCTAGTTTATATAATGTATTGTATTTCTTCATATATCGTCAGACTTTACTGTATTGTATTTCTTCATATATCGTCAGACTTTACTGTATTGTATTTCTTCATATATCGACAGACTTTACTGTATTGTATTTCTTCATATATCGTCAGACTTTACTGTATTGTATTTCTTCATATATCGACAGACTTTACTGTATTGTATTTCTTCATATAGCGTCAGATTTTACTGTATTGTATTTCTTCACATATCTTCACACCTTACTGTATTGTATTTCTTCATATGGCGTCAGACTTTACTGTATTGTATTTCTTCATATAGCGTCAGACTTTACTGTATTGTATTTTTCCACATAGCGTCAGACTTTACTGTATTGTATTTTTTTACATAGCGTCAGACTTTACTGTATTGTATTTGTGTTGTTTCGTGTCCACATTTTCCAAACAAGATATTTACTGAACTGTAAAACAAATTAATGTTTTGTTCAAATATCTCTTAAACTTTTACATACTCAGATCGTGAGTTAGTAAAGTCTGACGATATATGAAGAAATACAATAGAGTAAAGTCTGACGATATATGAAGAAATACAATACAGTAAAGTCTGACGATGTATGAAGAGCAATTGAATTATAGCACATTCCTCCACCAAGACATTTTTTTATCGTTGCACGGTAGTTTCTCGGTTTAGAGGTATATTGTAACAATGCCTTTTAATCAGAAATTATGTAAAGTGCAATCTTAAAACCCCTTCAAAATGTAACGCTGATGAAAACGTTTCTGAATAATTATTAACTACATAATAATAACGTTTTCTACGCAGCATGGAAAATATTTTAGTCCATGCTTTCATAACATTAGAATACGTCATGGACTACCCAAGATACACAAACCCGACAAGCCTTACCATCAGCTAGTGACCTTCTGGATACCTACTCTATCTCCACTACGAGCTAATACTAAACAACAGATTCACAACTCGAAAGATGTCACATCAGAACCTAGGAAATTCTTGTCGGTTTCAACGTAACATACTTGTCTACCAGCGTATCGACCTCAGAAACCCCTTGCATTACCATGGGATCACCACTGTCTCCAGTTTTAGCAGAGAAATTTCATGAAATACTTTGAAGAAAGAGCCCTCTCATTTACAGATACAAAAACCAATTTTTTACAGGCGCTACTTTTATGACACATTTGTTATCTGGCCCCACGGCCATAATAAATTACCAGCTTTCCTAGAATATATAAATTATATTAACAAAAGATTCCATTTCACCGTGTAAATAGTGAAATAAAACAACTTACCGTTCCTTGACATATTCATCAGCAGACGGAAAGGAAAAATTACTACAAATGTACACAGAAAACCCAACCGCACTTTTAGCTTATTTACCAATCAGCTGAAGATTTTCATTCTATTCAACTGGCAAATTAACTTCTCACGTTGGATGAAGAAAAATTAAGTTTTCTGAACATCCCCGAATATGTATCAATCTTTAGTTGAGAAACTTTAAACCAAAATCCCTACCCTGTAAAATAAATAAATAAATACACAAATTGACCTGAAGACGAAAGGCGGAAGACTTTCGAAACGTCATCATTTACATCTGAGCTGCATAAGTAGGTTGTATAGTAACCAATATATTTCTACAAGTGCTTCTCTAATAGGCAGTTGCCGCCCATTTGACAGTCAACTCAATATGACTACTCTTCTTTAAACAATACATTAAATAATAATTCGGATCTATTGTATTAGGATCGGAGTTAAACAACTAATAAGGCCATTCTATATATATATATATTTGCTTGATCCAATTAACTGGTTAAAGCATTTCAAAAATAATAAACAAATTATTTATAATATAGTCACTTTGTAAAACCTGTTTGTTTTTTCTATTAATAGGTTTATTTCTTTGTTTTTGGGTGTTCGTCGTCCCTTGTTTTGAATTCATAGACTAGAAGAAAGGCTGCAAGACAATAGCACCCACGCGAAATGTAGAACGGCAGAACCATAGCCCAACATACTAACCACTGGGCCATGCTCGGATCCTATTCATATTTAAACTACAGAAATAATATGAAAAATATATACCTTAAAAACTAGTTAGAGTTGAATATATTAATAGGTTTTATTTGAAACACAATTAGATTGATATGATGTCTTGAACAAATAATACGAAAAAATTAAAGAGAAATCCAGGTAGAAACATTTCAAGTATTTAATTATTAAAGTTATTTCTGGAAATTCCAAAAAACTGGAGCCTATCCTATCCTTAGATTAGAAGTAAGCAACATAGTGTAATTAGTTGTGAAGTCAATCAGTGAAAAAGTAGGTAAAGTTAACAACAAAAAACTGAAAATGTTATTAAATTTTAATTAATTACATTAATATTTTGAGTTTCCTAGTGTTAGTGGATATCGGGAATATTTCACAAAGCAGTACTCAAACTATTTCTTCTTATGTTATATTACCTAAGAAGAAATTACGAATTATTAAAATCTAAATATTTTCTAGAATATGTTATAACTTGGACGCCCCAAAATACAAGCCATTTCAGAATGTTAATCAACTCGTCGGTTTATATTTGTTTGTTTAATCCCTGAATTTTTATGTTTTAAGCAATCGAGTTTACCGCTGAGCTGTCGGGGGTTTATGTTTTTGCGGCAATATACGGGTATGTAAAAAAAAACAAAAAACTGTATCTTCGAAACGTATTTGAAGGTGAGTAATGTATATAAATCAGTGTAGGTACAGCTCGTTTTTTAAATAATAATACCCCCCCCCCCCCTCTGGTGGCTCAGCGATAAGTCTTAGGATTCATAACGCTAAAAATATCGGGTTTCGATACTCGTAGAGGGCACAGCACAAAAACCAATTTGTGTTGTCTTGTGCTTAACAGCAAACACCCGACCAAAGACAATAACACTTGGGAAAAATTCAAAGCAATTACATTATATGTTGTTAGTACAGAAAGACTTCCAAAATTATTTTGAATACATCCATACCTTAACTTAAACCTTTGATTCATCAGTTCTCGAATATCAAAATGAACCATATAAGTTTGCTCTTTTTATAATACTGAATCAATAATCCCATCAACAGAGACGAAAAAAACCCCGATAAATCCAACCGTGCAATAACACCCTTGAACTTTAAGAAATAAAGTTACAATGATGCAAACAAGAATTGTTTTGTTCGTAAATAAATAAGAAAGTCTAAGTTATTTTAAATTCTTTATCGTAAACCTTCAATGCAAAAAGGGTGAAACTAGCCTTAAGGATTTTATTCTAATTTATCAATTAATTAATCGTTTTGATCAGAGATACATTTTTATTACAGTTGAAACCAAAAATTAACTTTTGTTAACAGTATGAACAAAAAATGTTGTTAGAAGAAAGAACCGCAAAGTAAATTAAATACAATAGTGGTACTTTGAAACTTGTGCCGAAGGATTAAACTTAATGGGACCTGTTATTAACATTAAGTTTCTTAACTTTAAACCAGTGTTATCTCAGTTTATAGCACTTTTGTTGTTCTTAGCAAGACTTTATCGCTTAAAATGATATATGTATATATATATATATATATTTGGGTACTTATTTTTCTCATACGGAGAAAAATATATATAAATAGTATATTATTTATTGAAGTACTACTGTATTGCTAGTCAGTTATCCAAGAATATTCACTGAAATAATGTAATGAAAGCATGAACTAAAACATTTTCACGCTGCGTAGAGAATATTGTTGTTATTAGTTGATATTTCTTCTGGTAAGTTATATCAACGTTACATTTCTAAAGAGTTTTAAATTTATGCTTTATATAATTTTTGATTAAAAGGCTTAATTATAGTATACATTTACATCGACGAATTACCGTGTAACAATTAAAACAGTATTGGAGAAGTTCTCGTTCGAAATCCAATGTGAGTAAATGTGATATAGGTTGGTTGTGGTTCATGAAACGTCAGAATTTATCATGTGCCCAAATTTTCATATCTAGAAATCTGCTGAACTGTAAGAGGGGATGATCCAGGGAAGAGGTTCAATGATTCTGGATCTCTCTTTTCAAATGCAAAAAAAAATATAATCGAATGAAACAG